ATATATATATATACACATAATTTTTTTTTTTTACTTTTTTTTTTTAATCCTTATTTACAATTTTTCTTCCAAATCAGAATCATTTACTACTGTGTTAGCATTTCGCATAAGTTTTTGGTTAAGTGTGGAAAAGTTCAAAGTATGTTTGGAGGGGACATGCAGTAACTTCTCTCACCGGTACTGCAGACAGAGTTCTGCAACGGTCCGAATAGCTTCTACCTCCATGACATCGGGCCGGGACCGCAGAAAGGTGTCGTACTGGCAAGGGTCTGACTCTGGGAGGGTTGGTTATAAAACATATGTTACTGAAGGAAATTCAATGAAAACAATTTTACTTCTAAAAATGTTTTATGAAAGATTTAATTAAAATTACAGAAAATTCTACAAAGATTTCTGTACACTTTTTAAGCTATCTTTATTCAACCTAGACTGTGTATATTTCAGTTTTGTAACATCAGCAACTCAAGTTATTCTAATTGAAGGCACTAAAACATTTCAGTCTTTATCCTGAGAACAGCTTAAGTTTATTTTTATTATCTATAGTGGTAAAAGGCAAAGAGGAAAAAGGTCTAAAATTTCATGTGATTTAAATTTGTACAATTACCATCAGCGTTGTTCCCCGTTGTTGGCTGAACATCCAATTCTGCGTGAAACTGGAGGAGACAAAACGAAATGATGTTTAGTTTGTGACCAGTCACCAGAAGGTCTCTTAAAGGGGCAGTATTATGTATTTTCCAGGCACAAGGTGTCATTTTATTATAGCACAATTGAGCAACTATTTTACCTTTCATTGTTTAAAAAAATGCTGTAAATAGAAATATGACTGTAATTTAACACCTTGAAATTGGGCCTCTGTCTCTTTAAAAATGCTTGCTCTTTCTGAAACTCAGGAAGTCATCACAACATGACTCCTCTATTAACCCTTTAGCAGTGTTTTTACCAGCGTTTCACTGAGAAGGAGCTCGTATAATGAGCAGGTGTTTGCTAATTGCTGCTGGCTAGTCTGAAGGAGCTGAATGGGGGATTTGCGGTGGAGGGCTGCTCTGTGAGACAGAAGCTTGGAAACTGCGGCTCTGAGGAGGAGTTTCATCCTGGAAGGCGGGGTTAGGTCCCTCCAATCATTTTGCACAGGAAGGGAATAACATTATTGCATGATGTAAAGCTCAAACAAGTGGATTTTACATAAACACTGCCCCTTTAACAAGAAACATGTCATGGAGCCAAATCCAGTAATTCACCAGCAGGACGCTTCCTGTTCCCTGGAGCTGCTTCATGGCCGTGTGGAGGTCGAATTCAGCCACATGGGGAAACTCATCAACACCGCTGTGGATGAGGAAACACTTGAACCCAGCAACGCCTGCCTTGATCATGGGCCGAAGTTCACGCTGTGAGGAGACAAAATACTTTTATGTTGTGGTGCAAAAAAACCCCCACAAAACATAGGACACTCCTGTTTTTTATTTCATTTGGTCGGTACCTGATTTCCAGGAACGACTCCTCCCCAGAAGGCTACGTCCACGAAGCACTTCCCCGTCACTTCCTGCAGCTTCTCTTCAAAGTTTCTGAGCGTTGTGGTTGGAGGGATGCTGTTTCTGGAGTGGTTATAATCAAATGCTCTCTTAACATGGCACGCCATCAAATTTTGTCCCTTTTCAAGGAAACCAAATCAACCAAAGCTGCCTACAACGTGACCTCGTTGGGTGAGCGTCTCCTTCCTAATGCTCCCCTGGGCACCTGCCCAAGTGGTCCGGATACTTCAACTTACAAGGGCATGTCCACGACGGTGGTCACTCCTCCCGCCGCGGCGGCCCTGGTGGCCGTCCAGAAGCCCTCCCATGAGGTGCGGCCCGGCTCGTTCACGTGAACGTGGCAGTCTACGACGCCTGGCATCACCACGCTGTCCCCCACATCCAGCACCTGCAGTGATGAAGGGGTTAAACCAGGAGTGCTAAATCAACCCTAAGAGGCACTTTTAACTTAACGGATAGGGCAGAGCGACCGCCAGCTTACCTCACAGCCAACATCCCCAGTAAAGTTGCAGCTAGAGAGTATTTGGTGGATTTTACCGTCTTTAATTATTATGACAGCTGGACTCACTTCATTACCAAGCAGCACTCTGTTGCTCCTTACAGCACTAACCACTGATCCGAGCTCCATGCCTGTTTTTACTGAGAGGTAAAGAGAACAGAAAGAGTTTCTGAGCTTTGCCTTTGTGATCTAGATATAATCTAAGCATTTCAGTGGCTCAGAGCGGAGGCACCGCCTACTGCTGTATGGGGCAAAGGATAAAGCATGTGTTGACTTTTTTTGTTTTCTTTAGCAGTGCAACATGCTGAATCATATGCACAACAGGGCAAAACTGCCCCGTTGTTGAATAATAATATTTATTAGTGGTAGTTTTTTTTTTAAGTGAACTAAAGTTCTTCAGTCTTCAACAAAGTTTCAGTTAAAATATTTTTTAAGTTTGTGCATTCTGGCCTCTTTGGTCTCATGTTTTAAGCAGTTCCCACTATGCAGAGGTCAGTTATGGTAATTGGTAAAGTTTATAACGGAACAATTAGAAAAAAGGTGATTAAAAAAAAGTGCCATTAAAAGTCTTAAAACAAAACAAAACAAAACAAAACAATACGACTTCATGATGTAATCGTATTGTTGTTGTTTCACAATGAACAAGAATTCTGGGGCAACATTCTTTGGACTTTATGAGAGCAAAAATCTGACACCATGAAAGTCTAAAAAAAAAATCAAAAAGTGATTTTATTATTATTATTATTAATTTTATTATTATTATTATATTAATTAATTATTTTTTTCCAAAAGAGGTTTTTTTTTTCAAAACATCTTATTGCCAAAAGATAATTTAGGTAAAAATAAATAAATAAATAAATACTGGTGGCAAAAAAAAAATGATTTAGGCCGTTATTTTAGGAATTGGCTTCACACTAAACTTTCCTTCCTATACATTTTGTACGTCATTCTATCATCATTCAGTGACACTGATGCTCATAATAAGTACGTAAGCATCAGAACCAGTGTGTTCATTAATCCTCATTAGCCCCAGCAGGCTCTCCGTCATCAGGATGTAGACCTGGGCGCGGCCGGTCGCCTGCTCCCTCCATCCTTCCTCCCGGCGAGCCGCCGTGCGTTGTGACGCCAGCCCGTTTGGGGAGCAGTGCGTTCAGCTGCGTGGGTTTTGACTGTGGCGAAGCCTCGCAGCATCCTCGTTATGTAACGCCTCAGATGCTGGCGGGCGAACCGGATTAGCTGGAGCAAAGCTGCGCGGATGGCTGGCCGGACGGATGCGGTGACGAGCGGCGGAGAGCGTTCCCTCTGAGCGGGCAGCAGCTGCTGGAAGCATCGGGCCGACCGGAGCTCGTCTGATTTCAGGCCGGGCATCGGAGGCCTTCCGAGGGGCGCAGTCTCCTGGATCCTGCGGAAGCAGCGCAGTGGATTTTTTTTTTTTTTTAAGCATCCGACCAGATGTGCGTCCCTGTTTAAGGTCGTTCCTTTACATCAGCAGACAGAAACCGATGCGAGTTTGTCTCGAAGAGGTCGTATTTTTGTTTTTGTTTATATTTCCATTGCACTCGTCCAGTCCAGCAGCCGCTGCGCTGTAGCATAAATGATGGCGGGTCCCGAGCAGTCCCAGCAGCAGCAGCAGCAGCAGCAGAAGGTGGAGGAGAAGGCAGAGCACATAGATGATGCTGAGATGGCTCTGCAAGGCATCAACATGCTGCTCAACAACGGATTCAAAGAGAGCGACGAGCTTTTCAAGAGATACAGGTAAAACCTTTCAATCCTGCACCAACAGGTGGGATGAGGGGGACGGGTTTGGGTGGTAGAGAACAAGGTGTCCTGTAGAAAACATAATCACTTGAAATGAAACAAAATGTGGGTGTGTTCCTTTAAGTCTGTCGTCGTTAGACACCAGCTGACCTAAGGCATAAGCGACCTTAGCAGCTTTTTGTCATCAGGGGACTCCCATAGCTGCTTGAATTTTGACATAGTCATAAAAGTTTTCTATTTGTTTATTGAGATCTAGAATATTATTAAGTTTGATGTGACGGTTTTAGAATTGATTAATATAATAAAAAATAATAATAATTTAAAGGAATTGCCAAGTTTACTTTGTAAAAATGCGAAGAATAATCTCCATTGTTTGATTGTTCTGTTAACATGGTTACAATCTGATGCTACAAGGTAAAGATAGTTCCTGGACACAAACACATCTAAGCAAATAACCTGAGATTGCTATTCATCTTTTCGGCCATTTAGACCTGGCTGCTTCTCTCAGACGCCATCAAATCTGTTTTAAAACACACTCACTGATTGCAATGTCTGCAACAGGAAGAGGAGCCCCCAAGATTCTGCTTAAAGTCCCATATGACCTTGGGACAGCCCTGGGCTTTAATTTTGGGGTATGGTTGCTCTCCCAGGGTGCATTGGCCTGGGGTATTCATTACGTTTTTGCACATCCGCTCAATGAAATGATGCTAAATTCTGATTCTAACAGCTCCTGAATTAAATGGACGTTGTGGTACTTTGTTGAGGTAGCTGGGCTTTATTTGATCATACATGGTTCAGTTTTTTTTTAATACTTGGACTAACCAGAGCTTAACTAGATAAATCTATACTGAATATAATACAATTTAGAACTCAAATATGAGCTAAATCACAGTGAAGAGAACCCAAATACTGGAACATAGGAGAAAATGGTATCTAGCTATCGAGCTAGCCGTCAGTTAGCTAGCTAGATACCTAGACTTTATTTGATTATTTCTAATATGATTCAGTTTTTTTTTTAAACTTGGACTAATCAGACCTTAAATATATAACTGTATACTGAATAGAAATTTTTCTGATCCCAAATATGAGCTAAATCACGGGTAGGATTTAGCTCATATCTGATGAGAAATAATCAAAAAAAGTCTAGGAAAATTTGCTAGCTAGCTACCGTGACTTCTGCTGGACATTAACTTAAAAGTCTTGCTGAAGTTACTGAAAACAGCTGACCAACATTTTAAGTGTTAGTTTTAAGACAGAATATCTAAAATATGCTGTTTATCCACCTGAATTTGTAGATTTTTTTTTCCCAGACAGAAAGTTTTGGTTAAAGTGTTATTCTATCAGTTTTAATTAGCATATTTGTATGTTAGCAAACAAACATGGACTGGATTTTTATTTCATAATCTTTCATATTGAAGCTTGCTATGGATTCTTGTCTTCACATGACAGACTGCAGTCAGTCATGACGGCTTGTTTGGAGCCATCATGAAAAGTCAGTCTGCAGCAGTTTTTGTGTATTTTTCTCCTTGTTTTATGTCCTCTTGCAGAAAACAAACCTTAAAAAATACACAAAAAATACTTTGTTGTAATTGAGTTTATATTTTCTGCAACATTTTGTAACCCATTGTTTCTGTGTCTTATTTTTTCCTCATTTCTACGTCTCTTTTAGGACGCACAGCCCTTTGATGAGCTTCGGAGCGAGCTTCGTCAGTTTTCTGGTGAGATGTGCGTCAGGAAGGCACCGCTACAGCAGAGAGATGGAGGCAGTGACGAGTATTAGAGGAGAAGACCTCAGAATTAATGTTAGATGTGAGGCCTGAGATAATGTAGTCTGTCAAAAGGCAGGCCTCATGTTGTCACCACTGGTATCTTCCTTTGTTTTCTGCCTGTCCATTAGCATAATGGACGCATCCTCAGCTGAAGAAATGCATGGCTGCAGCAAGGAGAGTAGATCACTGAAAGCCTGCGTCTGAATTAGGGAGATGATTCATAATGTGGTGTGGTGCTCACACTCACATTCAAACTCACACTCTGTCATATTCTCCTTTCGCTGGTTGATGAATGCACCTTTCTGTGTTGGGAGGGCAACGCTTAACTATTTTTAAATTAAATTATTTAAACTTCGCCTTCTGATAATAATTTAATCACCAGGGAACCCAGCTTGCAATGAGATCTTTTGGGCATGTCAAAATATCTCGAGACTTTAAAGATAAATGCTACTCTAACGTCACTGCAATGACCCCATAGTAACAGGTCTTAATCTCATGCGACGCCACACAGACTCTCTGTCTGCGCTGATGATGATTCTCTCGTTTTAGAATTTCAAATTCACCCTCATTCATTCAAATAATTATTTGAACACTTGGGAGCATTCGTTGACTGAATGTTCATCACAGAGTATGGCTAGAAACATATTTCAAAAATCAGAATAGAACACAATCATAGGATTTTAGTCCCTGTTAAAAAAATGTGAGTGAATCTTAAGTTCATGTCTTCGCCAGGGTTATTTTACAGACATTTTTGTAATTGTGTTGAACTTTACAAAACATTTTAAATGACAATGTAGGATGATTTTGAAACAGTCTTTTGGTGTTCACTGGAAGTGTATGATATTGAAATGGCATATATAAACCATGTAATAGGATGAAAAAAAAGACTACATTTTTCATATAAAACTCACATATATGTAACAGAATTTGGCAAACAACATATTTTTGTCCCCATAAGCTCAGGTTGTAATTGTGAAAAATTATTATTATTTTCAGTCCTTACTATTATCGTTTTATTTATTGCACTTTCTGAGCAGCCCTACACTAAACCCTGTATACTATTCAGTGCTGGGCATAGATTATAGTATATTCATACAATGTTTGTATTTTGTCATTTCTGTGTTGTGTGGCCGGCTTTAAAGTGATGCCCATTTGTCTGTGCTGCAGCTAAGGACACTTTTTGTCCTTTGTTCCTTCCCCATACACAGCTGTGCAGATGTCACCGTTCTGCCCCACTTAGGGTTATGCTGAAGCAGCCTTTTGTTACTCCATTACATAAGACTCCTTCGCGGTTAGAATGCTAGATCAAGCATGAATCTCATCAGAGGAACAGAACAAAACATTGACATAGTGATGTAATTCAAATGGATGTATGGCTTGTATGTTGGCATAGAGTGCAATTAACTCTTATGGTGAACAATGTGTATTTTGTAGTTGTTTGAAGCTGTAATTTGAAAGCTCTTTGCACATTTGAAGGTTGAAAAGCATCGTTTAAGTTCAGCCCATTTAGCATTCTGCTTCACAACGGCTTGAGGGCTTGTGAATGCACAAAGCCTAACCAATTGGAGGACTTTTTCTGTGCTTCGCTGCAGAACGCCATGATGACATTCGAGGAGGAGAAGATGCAGATGGCCTGTGATGATCTGAAGACAACTGAGAAACTGTGCGAGAGCGACAGCGCTGGAGTGTTGGAGACGATCCGAAACAAGATCAAGAAGAGTGTAAGTACCGGGAGAAACTAGTAAAGGATAAACTTAAGACTGAACTAAGTTGCTGAGTATCTAACTGTTAAAGGGGCAGTCTTATGTGTTTTCCATGCACATATTGCCATTTTGTAGCATAATCAAGTAACTATATTACCTGCAATTGTATAAAGATGCCAATCATATGAAATATGACTTAAAAGAAATTTGACTTTGTAATTTAATGGCTTGAAATTGGGCCTCTGTTGCTTTAAAAACTCCTGTTCTTTCTGAAACTCCACCTTCAGAAAGTCATCACAACATGGCTCCTCTGTTAACCCTTTAACAACATTTTGCCAGCATTGCACTGAGAAGTAGCTCCTATAATGAGCTCAGCAGATGCACAGTTCCACCAGGTGTTTGCTAATTGTTCATGGCTGGTCTGAAGGAGCTGAGTAAGGGAGTCATGGGGAAGCTCAAAAGCTTAGAAACTGCAGCTCCGAGAGGGAGCTTTGTCCTCAAAGGCGGAGCTATGTCCCCCGAGGTATTTTGCACAGCAGAATGGTTGCTATGGGAGACTAAAGGATTTCTCAAAACTGCATGAAAAATCAATTCAACACTTCAGGTGTGTTTTTGATGAGAGAATAATATTATAACATGGCATAAATCTCAAAGGAGTTTATTTTGCATATTACTGCCCCTTTAACAAGAGGCGTGTCAGTCCAGTACATCACCAGCAGGACGTTTCCTTTAATAGAACCTCTGGTATAGTAGAAATGATGCCAGGAGAAAAGAATAAAACCAATTTGGATGTTCAGTTGGGTTCTAATATTTCTTATAGCTTCTAACATTTCACCAGGAACAGATTTTAGATAATGATGTTAACATCCTCAGCAGTAGGTGTAATCATCCAGACTGCAAGTGAGATCATGCCGAACCAGCAAACCAATTCAATTAGGACTTCCCTGAAATTCAATCTCAAACTGGACGAGTACCCACAGGGCCGCCTGGCCTCCTCAGGGTTATTCAGAAAGCATTCATGGGCATCACCTCAAGTGGACGCTGCTTACTGAACGCGTGGGCCTGTCTGTGTGGGTTACAGATGGACTCCCAAATGTCAGGCGTGGCTGTGGTGGACCGCCTACAGAGACAGATCATTGTTGCCGACTGCCAAGTGTATCTAGCGGTTCTGTCATTCGTCAAACAGGAACTCTCAGGTAACCAAACCTAACTCAGAGGAAGCACAGACTTTGAAAAGTGTTGACTAATCCATACCGATTCATGCTACTTCAAGCTTTATTTAGTAGTTAATTATTAAAAAGGAGTTTGGTTTTAGTATTAAAATCTTGTAAATCTAATGTTAGCATTCATTCAGACGTAGAAATATACATCAAAAGGTATTTCTGAGGGATCGGTTTGACTTTTACAAATGACAGAACATACTTTTTCTTTAAATAGATCTTTTTATTTAGACCAATTTACAACGTAATTACATATCAGTGACCCCAGATAGTCAAAAACTGGTATGTTTTCAGTTGCATTATTTCTCTTTGTTTATCTTGTTTCTTCAGTATTTTTAAGGACACCAAATGCAGAGGTACTTTGTAGAGATGCAGTGATCACATATTAATATTTGCATTGGTCCTGATATAAAAAATACCATTCTAGATGGTGAATTGGTGACAATGTACCTGATCCATTAGGACACATCTATTCAGTCTAATTTTATGTTTTGTGCTCTGAGTTATGTTATACTTATTTTTTTTTGACATTATATTTAGAATTTCTAATTGCACTTTCTGAACCATCAGAAAGGAGGTTTGCTGCAGTTCATTTTTACATGTTTCACTAAGGTAGCCAATCTATTGTTTCTGTTAGTTTATTATTTATTCTATATTGGTTGTTCTCCTCCTAATTGCACTGACTGGACAAATTAAAGTTACTTTTAACATGTTTGACCAAACTTGTGAAGCTATTGGTGTATTTAGCTGTGCTGTACTGTTGCAGAGTTGTCAAATAAATTTGTAATTCAGTATATTTATGTCTATGTTAAAAAAAAAGAAGAAAGAAACGTTTCAAGTTATTTCAGCTGTTTTTCTGTATCGGTATCAGTATCTGTCGATACTAAACCTCCAATATCTGTATTGTAATTGAAAAAAGTGGATCCCCAGTATTTTGACCATAAAAAGCTAATAGAACAATTTCTCAAGACCATTTTAAAAAGATTCCAAAACTCACTGACTCCCTCATTGGACCTATAAAGCAATATGTACTGGTCTATGACTGGGTGGAGGCAACAAACCCAGCATTTTTGAGCATTCTTTTCAGTTCAAATGATCATTGCGCATCCTTGTCATTCACTGACAGCTTATATTAAAGGAGGCTGGATTCTCCGTAAGGCATGGAAAATGTACAACAAATGCCACAGTGACATCAGTCAGCTGCAGGAGAGCTGCCAGCAGGGGGCCTCCGGCAGCCAGGAGTCGCTCTCAGCCGACAATGCCAACCACAACATGGAGAACGGTGTGACGGCCGAGGCCCTGGACCGGCTCAAGGGCTCCGTCAGCTTCGGCTACGGCCTCTTCCACCTGTGCATCTCCATGGTGCCGCCACACCTGCTCAAGATCATCAACCTGCTGGGCTTCCCTGGCGACCGTCTCCAGGGTCTGTCCTCTCTCATGTACGCGAGCGAGAGTAAGGACATGAAGGCGCCACTGGCTACGTGAGTCGACCCGAGTCTGAAACCGCAGAAGTGATGTATGTTGTTTAGAACAATTTGTAAACAGTGAGAGAAATGTTAATATTTTTAAGTTAGTTACCCCAACTCTACATATTTAGGGCATGTACAGTTACACACACACACACACACACACACACACACAAAGCCACTATACATGTTACATTTAAACATCCACATATCTAAAGAAAAATTCAAAGTGTACATCACTTCTAAATTACAAAAAAACATTGATGTGAAAAAATGAAAGCATAATAATTTTTAAGTAATTTAACTTTAATGTGATTTTAGTCCAAACTTTGACTAGGCCAACCAAAAATAATTTTTCCCCCCCCCCACTATGTCATGACAGTATGGTGCGAGACAGGTAAGCTGTGAAAAAAATTGAGCTTCTGTACCTTCTCCCAGTTCTCTCAGTCCCAGAAACAGCCAATCAGAGTCAGGAGGAGGGTCTTAGCGCTGTTAATCATTCAGTATTTTGCCGATGATGGCGGATAAACCGTTTTCCTGTGACAGTAAGCCGTTTCTCCATCTTTAGCACATTTTGCAAAGAGTACATACGGTTGATTGACAGTGCTAAGACCTTCACTAAGTGAAAACTAGCACAGAAAATCCTATTGAGTCAGTAGAAGTATGATTAAACAAGGTAAGCAGATCTATTTTCCATCTAAAATCAGGATGGCTTGGACATCTTTGGAAGTAACATTATTTGAAAACTTCATTTTGATTATTTTTAACATGCAATTGTAACAAAAAAAAAGCAAAACCAGAAGAAATCTACAACATATCAATCATTTGGGTTGTTTAGAGGTTTGATAATTGTTGAAGTGGATCAGCAGAATAATCTGATCTGAATGTCCTGTTCTGTTGCTCAGGCTCGCCCTCTTGTGGTACCACACAGTGGTGCTGCCTTTCTTTGCCCTGGAGGGTTCTGACACACACGCCGGGCTGCTGGAGGCCAAAGCCATCCTGCAGAGAAAGTCTGTGGTTTATCCCAACTCTTCCCTCTTCATGTTCTTCAAGGGACGAGTTCAAAGACTGGAGGTACGTACGGCAGACCTGGAGTCAGTGGTAACCATCTGGAACCACACACACCAATCAGGTTTGACCAGAAGGAAACAAAATGTGGCATGTCACTTACAGTCAGTGATGCATGCTTCGTGGTTCGTGAACTCACTGATCTGATGTCTCTTGATCCAGCTTTCATCCAACATATCCGTAACAGTCCGTGTCCAATACGATTAGTGTTTACCTGTCAGTATGTGTGCTCTCTCTCTCTCTCTCCTCTGTCCCCAGTGCCATATCAACAGTGCTTTGGCCTGTTTCCATGATGCATTAGAACTTGCATCAGACCAAAGAGAGATCCAGCATGTGTGTCTCTATGAGATTGGTACGTGTTTTCTCACCCGGTTAGCCGTGAGCGTTGGTGCGTGGTCTGCTGAGGGCCCGGTCTGACTGCGTCCGCTTGTTCTTTGTGTCAGGTTGGTGCAGCATGATAGAGCTGAATTTCGAAGATGCCTTCAGAGCATTTGAGCGATTGAAGAACGAGTCCCGCTGGTCGCAGTGCTACTACGCCTACCTGACCGGAGGTAAGACTGATAGCCTCCAACGAAACATTATGGGTCTGATCTGCGAAAGGTTATTGGAGATTTAGTATCGGCCAATACCGATCCGATACAGAAAAACGGTGCTGAACTGACTTAAAACATTTCTTTTTTCAAACACAGATGTAAATGTACTGAATTACAAATTGATTTAATAATTCTGCACCAGGACAGCACAGCTAAATACACCAATACCTTCACAAGTTCTCAAAACTTTAAAATATTAAAAGCCATAAAAATAGTAAGAAAAAAAACAACAACAAAAAAACTAAAATAAACAGTGACTCAAACACAGTATCCTCATTAAGACAATATTAATAAAATCAAATAAAACAATATTAAAACAATAATGAATCTAATTTTGGAAGCTTATGATCACAGGAATAAAAATGGTATTAAACAGCTTAAAACTGATTTTATACTTTTTTGATGATCTCCCCTTATGTATCAGCCACATGGTTGCTCATGCTCGATCTCGAATTTTTTTCTTTCATATCGGGACCGATTCAGATATTAATATCTAATCGGTGCAGCTCTATTTGTTATCTTGAGCAAACCCGAGCTACAAACAACACACAAATGGGATTGCGCAGCAAAATCAGAAAAATCAGAGGTGCAATTGTGCGCCTGCTAAACCGCTAGGTTCTGTTTTTTGCGGCAATATATAAACACTTTTGAAAAGTTGGTGCAAGCTGGCATGCGAAGATGTGTGCTGTCACCATGGTGACCAGAAGGCATAGATGCAATGACAGAAGTTAATGTTTGTCAAATATCTGGAACATTTAAAGAAGAGAAGATACAAATAAAATTAAACAGATTTGAAATATCCTCCAGCAGTGCAAATTTTGAGCTGCAGGATTACCAAATAATTTCAGCACATCATCACTGTACGGCAGCACAGCTCCATGTTTTGATGCCCTTCAGTAACGCGTCTGTGTAGCCCAGAAAAGGTGATGCGTATTATATTTGTTTACTGCATTTTCCACAAACTGTGCACGCAAAAGATGTCTGTGGGGGACAGTTGGATCCTGGCAATATTTATGCAATTAAACCAAAACAAAAATCCTCATGACCAAGCTTAAATATTGGCCTGTGTTACTTAAACAAACCTGAACAGTAACAGCCACTATAGACTGGAAAACCACCACGGAAACAACGTCCTGCGCATTTATTTTTTTTTTCTTTACATAGTTTACCTCTCCTTATTTGGACTCTTTGCAGACCGGGCCTTTTGAACTGTTTCTGTTCGACTGCGTCTCCTTTCAGTGTGTCAGGGGGCTTCAGGGGACCTGGACGGAGCAAACGGAGTTTTCAAAGATGTCCAGAAGCTGTTCAAGAGGAAAAACAACCAGATAGAGCAGTTTGCTGTCAAAAGGGTCAGCAACACGTGCTATTCTTATTTTAAAAGAACGATTGGTGGTTTGTCGCAGGAGTTCAACTACTTGTTTTTATGGCTCTCTGCAGGCGGACAGGCTGAGAAAAGTCTCGCCCACCAGGCAGCTGTGCATCCTCGGGGTGATCGAGGTTCTCTATCTGTGGAAAGCCCTGCAGAACTGCTCCTCAACCAAACTGCAGATAATGAATCAAGGTCAGTCTGACCTTCAGAGGGAGGGAGGAAGGAAGAGTTACAGAACCCAGAAACTTCTATGCGGTTTTGGGGGGATTTTATGTGATAAACAAACACAAAAAAGTGCATCATTGTGAAATTGAAGGAAAATGCCTGTTTTTTAGTTGTTTTGTTTGTTTAATAATCAAAATTACAGCTAAATGTGTTTGACTTGACTGATAAAATAATATTTACGTGCACAACTGTTATCTTGAAGTCCTTTTTCAGAAATAGTTACTGCATGCTGGATTTGGCCCACACACCCTGAGTTTGACACTTATGCAATAAAGTTTGTGGTTGTAATGTGACAAAATGTGGAAAAAGTTCTACAGACATGAATCCTGACAGTGGGCCTGTCATGATAATAAACTCTGCTGGATGATAAATTGTCCCAGAAGTTATCGCAATAAACGATAAAATTGTTGTTTTGACATCGTTGTCAAAAATCAATAAACTTTACATTCTAATGAGCATTTCAGACATTTTAAATGTCCAAAATAAATAAACAGAACAGAAACAGCAAATCAAATGCATTTTGAAGTCTGTAAACAAAATTGTCCTTCAAAAAAAAGATGGTTGAGACCAAAACACCAGACTGAAGAGTTTTATCATCCAGTTTTTGGTGGAAAGAAAGAAAAGAGAAATATGATGAATCACACAAAAGGAAATTATTGAGCTTTTAACTTATCATGCAATAAATTGATTTATTGCATATTTCGACAAGCCTAAATGCAGAGCGATGTCTTTTTTAAACGTCCCATCATTTCCTGTGTTCTAACTGCAGTGCTGCAGAGCGTAGACGAGCCTTCATGTAGAGGCCTGAAACACCTCCTCCTCGGTTCCATCCTGAAATGCCAAGGAAACATCAGAGATGCTGTTCAGGTAGGACTCTACTCGGATCAGAGAATAATTTTGGAGTTAATCTAAACTGGAAATGGTGCTTATACTTCCTTTTTCTCCGTTTCTCATGTGATCCAGTCGTTCCAGCTAGCCATCAGGGACGAGTACGGACGACAGATCAACTCCTACATCCAGCCGTACGCCGTCTATGAGCTTGGATGCATACTCCTCGCAAAACCAGAGGTCTGTGATTTTTGCATGTAGCATTATAAAATTTTCATCTGTGTACTTGTGGACATTGTGTCATTACCGTATTATTTCCATTGTTGGATTCAGACAGTGGCAAAGGGGAGATCATTCCTACTTCAGGCCAAGGTAAAAGCCAAAATGAGTACTTCTAATAAAATACTAAGTTAAAAAAAACAAACTAAAATGAATAACTTCCTGTTTCACTGTCTCTCCGTAGGAGGACTTCACAGGCTACGACTTCGAAAACCGGCTTCACGTCCGCATCCACTCGGCGCTGGCCTCGATGAAGGAGGTGGTGCCACAGTGACTCCTCCACGAGAGGAGAAACTTCGCACAAAGTCTCAATAGCACTCCCTGTGTTTTTCATTTCAAACGAACTGAAGACACAATTGGCAAAAACGTTTATCGCTGATAAAAATTAAGTCTGATGATAAAGTGCCATCTCTGTGCATTTTGTAAAGCGGTGGACGGACGGTCGCGCTCGTGAAGGCACGCGGGTAGCTCTGGCTCATGTGAAATCTCTAAAGTTTTGTCAGTGCGCAGTTGGGTCATGTCCGCTGACAACCACAGAGTGAGAGGGTGGGAAAAGGCCTCCGATATATCGTGAAATGTGATGTAAATAATAAAACCGTCTAACCAGCGCAAGCTAGCTGTGTAAAGAAGGAGTTGTTACCGGGCACGTTAGCTACGCTATGCTAGCTGCCTCCAGTTTTTCTGCTTAGCCAGTCTATTGCTTCCCAGGCTTGTTTCTGGACTGAATGCACAGAGATTAATCTGATACAGAGTTTCATTCAATTCACTCCTCGATGTTCCTTTTAAGTGTTTCTCTCACCGTTACGTATTTGCCGTCCAGTAGCAGTTCTACTCATTAGCTCGTGCATTTAAGGGACTTAAATTCTACTTCTACCTTAATTAAACAGATTACAGAATAATTTGTTAAAAACACTTTATCTTTTTTTTGCGGGGGGGATTTTATGAAGTAGACAGATATTTAGCGACTTTTCAGACGAAAAAATCAGAACTTGGCAGGTCAGGCTTTTTGGTAACACTTTATTTGAAGGGGGGTGAATAAGACTGACATGACACTGTCATAAAAACCTGTCATGAACATGAATAAGCCTTCATGAATATTTATGTCTGTTGTCATAAAGCATCATTCGGTAAATCATGACACTTTTAATATAAAGTTGACATTATTCAAAATGCCTTTGTTATGACAACTTGACATTAACCAAGAAATCATTACTGATATAAATTTGTTATAAAAGTATTATTGATTGCACTTTAAAAATTAGGTAACTTTATGTTATTAAAGGTAAAGTTTAAACAGTAATGATTTCTTGGTTAATGTCAAGTTGTCATATCAAAGACATTTTGAATAATGTCAACTTTGTATTAAAAGTCTCATAATTTACCAAATGACGCTTTATGACAACAGTCATAAATATTCATGAAGGCTTATTCATGTTCATGACAGGTGTTATGTCATGTTTATGACAGTGTCATGACAGTTTTATTCACCCCCCTTCAAATAAAGTGTTACCGGCTTTTTAAATATCGGTGATCGGTCAACAAGCTGCAATTGGTGCGCCCCTATTGATGAGAGCGAAGAAAGGGAATGAGGAGCGGACCTAAAGTGGAGCGATCCAGTTTATCAGACTTGGTCCTTGCCCTAAAACAAAGTTACCACATGACTTCCATTACCTGTAAATGACATCAACACACTCTGCGATTCTCTGGTGTATCTAACAAAACGTTAAGCACTCTACCTGTGCACTATGCATAGCATGGCTGGGTGACGGTGGCTTTATATACTGAAGTCCAGCATGTTTTTTTTTTCTGCAAATACATAAAGTTACTCCTACATAACACCCTTAGTACTGTAAAGCTGCCTAATGAAAGGTGCTGTTAAACGTCAGCCTGATCCTGTGTTACTACAGACGCATTTTATTATCGTTTTAGTGGTAGAAGCCTTTGACTTACTTCACAATACCAACCACTTTAATAACTAAAAAAAGAGATAAAGCTGTTTTTGTAACTTTGCTGCAGCTTTGTTAGAGTTTGAGTGGCTCATTCAAGCCTCTTGCGTTGGACAAAACAACATCCACGAGTAATTTTCTCAAACTTTCTAAACCGTTTACATGAGAATTTTCCAGTGCAGAGCATTAAATTTTATGAACAAGCACTCCGGTTTGTCGTCCAAGCAATATTAACTCATAACAGACATCATTTAGTTGGAACTTTTCACTTCATGTTTAAAGTTGTGAACTTACAGATTTTTTTGTTTGTTTTTAAATTACCGTGATCTCTTAAGACAAGGCTTATCATCCCTCGTGGCTGTGATGGATGTAAAGTGTAATAAAAATGGAGGAGGCTGCTTTACAAGCAGTCTGTTCTCTGAAAAAAAAGAATAACATTACGGTGAACTGTCAATAAAGTGTAATCTACCCATTGTACCAGATACCTCTGTCATAAGAATATTTCCGCTCTGTCATTGTTGAAACTGAGGCTAAAAGTTAGATGTCACTAAACTGGAAAAATAAACAGTTCTCCATCAATATAGTCAAACAATCGTCTCTGCTTTCTGTTTTGTCTGTTCTTGTATCAGAAGAATCGATATGCTATAGAAAAGTTTTCATGTTGCTTTAAAGGCCTTTACGTGACACAGCTGCACCTAATTCTGAACTGAAAATATGCTGTAATGTTAGAAAAGATATTAAAAAAATATCAATTTACGATAAACTAAAGCTAATGGGAGCAAGCATGCCACCATTTTAGGGTCTGAGTATAAAAGTAGTCACAATATAACAAATAGTTTTATTGTGAGCTTATTAAAAAGCAAATCCCTTCCGGTTTGTGTCTGAAATCCACCACTAGAGGGCGCTTTTCTCACAGAAAGCTGTCAGGATGTGGTCGTGTGGTGACTGTCATTCCAGTGAAATCCGAGTTCCCGTCTGTCACGATAACAGATTTTGCTGGATGACAAATTGTTCCCTGAAATGACTGCCATAAATGATAAAATTGTCCTTCTGAATCCATTTTCAACAAATATATTAATAATTGTACAATAATGCAAGTAATGAACTTTAATTTTGTACAGGACACTCCATACTGGAATTGGAAGACATATTAAATATCCAAAATAAAAACTGACCATTCAAAAATGAAATCTACCTGTATATAACTTAAACTCTTAAACCCAGCTTACTCTTAAATCTGTGAAAGTCTCAGAGATTTGTTGGAGAATATGGGTGAGAAAAAACAGCATCGTCACAAACTGACAGGCTTGGAAAGGCGCGAATAAAAAAAAGGCCCATGGGACCTCTGGAAGAGCTACAGAGACCCACAGCTCAGGTGGGAGAATCCTTTGACAGGACATGATCTGAGGAGTCACAAGCATTCATCAGATCTGGACTTTGATCCGTGGTTTCCATGCTGAATGACACAGGTGGTCATTTTTATGTCCACACTCTGATAGAAATACTCCAAGTGCGTCTCTTTAAGATGCCCTTCGAGTTGGGATCAAGGCAACAGCTCAGTCACAAAGTCAATTATTCAGAGTGCCAGGCCACCTAATTTAGTCAGAGCAGACTTAAAGGGCAGTTAGAAAGGCAGCATGTCTTCTGTTGGGTTTCAGTTTTGTGTTGGTATTTTGATCAGTCTTGTCATTCTAGTTCCTTATTATTGCTGGACAGGTCTTGTTTACTTCTATCATGTGTGCATGCGTGTGTGTGTGTGTTTTTAACTTAACTTTTGTGTTTCTGGATTTTAGTACATTTGTTTATTGTTGGTGTCAGGTTTTGTCACCCTGTTAATTTGTTCTTCCCTCAGTTTGCCTCTTTGCTCTCTGCCTCAGCTGCTCCACGTTCCTCACCTGAATCCAATTTTTAAAGCGGGATTGTTTTAACTTGTTATTCAAACCTCCTTTCATTCCTCTATTCAGCGATTGATGAAGATGTTGACAGACCTTGGTGTCTACGTCAGAACTTACCATGATCTTGTTTGCACATGATTCAGGGGAGGACCCAGAGAACATCCATGAGCGATGCTACGCTACACAGAAAAACACAATGCATTTATGAGAGAGAGCTGGGGACTATAGGAGGGGTTGGTCAGTGCAAAGAGCAAGGTCACAAATAACACTGCATCATGTTTCACACTGACTGAAACCTGATCATTCAGTTACCTCCTCCTACCAGTTAGAAAGCTTCTGTTCACCAGAATTTATCTCCCTCATGCCTCCATTAGAACAGTTTTCAATTCTTCCCATTTAAGATGGAAATTGCATTAAAAGTACTTACTGCTTTTCCAGATTATGCTTGTTTTGTCTTTAAAAGGACAGATTTAGTTTTGTGATGGACAGTTGTGGACAGGATTAATCTTACAGCACAAGCCGGATACCCGTTAACAGTTACGATCCTGAGCTGTGCAGGTGTTGACACAATTACTTCTGGTTCTCTAATCAAACTATGCTGTCCAAAGGCCTCTCTCCAAAATCTCTCTTCTGACATTAGGTCTGATCAAGGTAGCTGGGATACATTATTGTTGGATCATTTTAAGTAAAATGTAAAGTAATTTTGGTTTGTAGATTTCTTCCCAATCAGGAAATGTGATCCTAGCACTGTGGTTAAAGCTGTTGCCTCAAAACAAATAGGTCCTAAATTCATATCTTGTCCAGTTTTGTTTTTCTGTGAAGTACGTGTGTTCTGGGTGCTTCTTCTTACTCCAGCATATAAACACTGGATTGGCATCAGCCATTCAGGAAAAACTGAGCAAAAGGTTAGATGGATGTTGCTCCTGAAATTATTATTATTATTATTGTTCCAGCAAATGGTAAGCAACAACATCCCTTTGTCATTCCTGTCCTTCTGGTAGTCTCCTGCTCCTGAGTCTGGTTCAGCTAAATGGCCCTGCCTGTTAAAAAGGAGTTGTTCTTCTGGACTGTCGCCTTATGCTTGCTTAAAATCACTGTGTGAACTGAATCTGTTCAAAATATTTGTTTTAATTTGAATTACTAAAATAAGTATAGTCGATTATATTCAATGATATTCTAATTTATTAAGATTCGCAATTTTGTTTTATATAATGCTTTCCCTACTTTGAAATATAAAAAACGTATGTCTGTTCCCTCGTATAATGCACAATAACATCTTCCCTAGCTTGAATGTTTCCTTTTTATGCCGTAGCTCTTAAAGGGTCCTAATGTACGTCCTAATCTTTCCCTATTCATCACACCGCCTCCTCCCCTGCCTGCCTTCTCGGTACTGCATCGATGCTACTACCTCCCCCCGGTGGTGATGTCACCGGCTCAGTGGAGCTCGAGCATCCTCACCAAAGACACCGAGACAACAGAGCCATTTTGACCGCTTCGCTTCCTAAAGCAGCGGCCAAGTGGGCCACCTTCCCTCCTCAGTCCTCAAGAGAGGTCCAGTTAGGACGGAAAAGGCCAGTCGGGGCGGAGGAGGTGGGTGTTCTGGTCGGCAGATTTCGTCGCTGACATCCTCCTCCCGTCCCGTTTTCATGAGGAGGAGAGGCTGGTGACAGACCTGGAGGAGAGCGGCGGAAGTGGAGGTATCCACGGGGTCTGGATGTGAAACCTACAGGCACGACAAAAACGGTCTGTTCCCAGGAGCTGTTTGGAGGTAAGGCGACCCCGTTTTTCTTTTCTTTTTTTTTTTTGTGTGTGTCGTCCATTTGAAAATGACTTCATGGTAAAACATTTTGAATGACACGGTCCTTCTTTACTTAGTGTTAAATCTCTTGGGAGTGAATGAGCATAAGGGCGCGGCCAGTGGAAAAGCTGTCAGTATTGAAAACACGGTAGCCTTCAGCAGCAGAGTGACATTATACTCTACACATTTACACAGCTCACGCTGTCATGTTATTTTGTTGCGTCTATAAATTATAAAACGGGTTACATTTAAAATGCGAGGGAGGGGCGGCTGACATAAATGCAGTGTCACTGGCTGAAGTCTTAAGTAAATGTTATTTTCCAACTTTAGAAATGACGCCATAATTCGGCTTTTTTTTGTTTGTTTGTTTGTTTGAATGAACCGTCAAAAAATATTTGCTACTTTTATCCCACCATAGGCCTGAAAACAGCATGTCATTCTGAAAAGGTGCCAAAATATGAAGCAAACGTCACCACTTTATGAGGCTCCGTTCCAAAAATAATAGCTTACTACGTGATAATTTAGGACAGATATTAAGGGTATGGGTATTTTACAGCATTTGCCACCAGAAAGATGGTGGCCGCCCAGCTGAGCTGCATCATCAGCTGATGGTCCTGAGCTTTTCGGAGCAGATTATGGTCATCATACATACCCCTTATGAAGAGTGATTAAAGATGTTTGAAAAAATATATTTTACAAGGTTTACTTCATAGGCCCCAGTAAGAATTTTAATTTAACTGCAAATTTAAAAAATATATAATCTTAATTCATTGCTAGTCTTTCACATTTTTGTGTCATCCGCAGCATCATGTCTGCACTACAATAAGATTAAATCTTAAAAGCCTTTTTGCTGGTACAGATTTCTCGAACACCTCTGATAAATTAATATGCTTGGGGCCACGTTGATGAAGATTTCAAGAGAGCAGGATGACACAGCAGGTACACATGAATCAGTGATGATGACAGACAGATCATAAAATGAGGGCGCATACTGACATCCTAATACATTAATTACCTCGGTCCATGAATATTAACGAACAACAGGAATGAGTATGCTCTTTCTGAAGGATGTTCTCTAAGGTTAGGGAGCAGCAGTGACCGCTGAATGTCTCTTAATTGACATTAACATTGATGGATTACACTTTGATGATGAGTCATGCTCCTAAAACACACCCAGACTGATCAGAAGCAAATTGAGTTTTATGTTTTTTTTTTATTATTATTATTTCTGTAAGACAACATGTCCTGAAGCTGCCCTGCTGAATTGACGCCAGTTCCCAGATTTCTGGTTTGGTTCAGTCCCATTGTCATCCAGATAAACATCCTGACATTTAGCTGCTGCTGCAGTTCTTTTGTTACAGCTAGCTTTATTATCCATCTTCCTCGGCTGCAGCTGACCACGCATGACCTTTTTTTTTTTTTTTTTTAATTTATTTATTTTACAGCCATGCGTCCCTGCCCTCCTCCTTTTTTCCTGGTCACCTCAACTGCAAATTATTGGGATGCTCTTTTATTTTTATTGTTTTTTTGTTTGTTTTTTTCCAAATATGAAAATGAGAAAACAGCTGTGTAACATGACTTGCACAACAAATGTTGGGTGTGTTTTGACAAATGTCGCATATACAACGTTTCGCAAAAGCATGAAAAATCCCCTTGAACCTTTTTTGTGTTCTGTTTCATTACTCTCTTATGTTTCATAACATAACAGGTTTTAGTAAAATTGTTATGTTATATCTTCAATGAAAGGTTGAAGATATTGTAAAGTGGATGGAAATAAATAGCTTTCAGATTTTGTTCACGAATAAAAATCCAAAAGGTGTGGCATCATACTGACTTCCTTTACTGTGATATTGCTTGATGAAACCCTTTGTAACCAATCGCCTTCAGATATCACCTGATTAATGATTAGTGACCACCTGTGGGTAATTAAATCAGTGTAAAGCAGCTGTTTTGTGGAGTTCTCAATGAACTTGGTGAGCAAGCAGCACGAGGAAGAGAGAAACGCCTTTAATATATAGTGAAAGAGACATGATCAATGCCAATAGATAATACATCTTACAGAATATTCAATATGTAGAATATTCACTGACTTCCGATCCAGAACCGCACAGCATTCTGGGAGATGTAGGCAGAGGAAATACTTTAGCCCCCCCAACTTCTCACAGTGAGGTAAGCTAGGTGAGTGATATCAACTAAATCACTCTCTGGTTACCTAGCAACTCACTCCCTCTTTGGTTACCTAGTGACAACCTTTTGAGTAATTTGCTCAGCACCAGTTTCAGGTTTCAGGTGCATAAAAATAAACAACGGCAGCATGAAATGAAAACTGTGGATAAAACAGGAAAGGTCACGCCACCATTTTGGCAGGATTTCAGATATTTAAAACTAAAAACTAATCAATAATTATCAATATCGACTGGTATAGAAGGCCTACACGGTGACATGTTTTTCAGCCATTTCGTTCAGCCCTGGTCAGGTTCCAGTTCTCCTTCTCAACCCAATAGGAAATCTGTGGCTTAACTTGAAAATTGAAGTTCACAGAAAAAAGAAAGTAAATAAAAAAAGTAGAAGAGCTGAAGACTTGCTCGTCACTCTGCTCAGATTTTTTTATTTTTAAAAAGAATTTTGAAAACTATCTCTCCTTTCCACTTCATACGTATTCCCTATTTCATTTTTTATTTATTTTTTATTGCTGCTTAAAGTCCCAATAAGATGCATTAAGCTTTGTGGTTGTAATGTGAAAAAAATGTGGAAAAGTTTAATGGGGTAAATCATGTTGGGGATAGAAAAGGGTCAATTTTAATAAAGACACACTTTGTCCTCCCTCTCAGAGACCTGCAGGCCCCCCGTCTGGGTTCAGAGAAGGCCCCCCGAGGTGCTGAGAAGACATCGCCATGGCAGGGGCCTCGGTGAAGGTGGCGGTGAGGGTCCGCCCCTTCAACTCCAGAGAGACGGAGAAAGAAAGCAAATGCATCATCCAAATGTCTGGAAACACCACCAGTAAGTAGCCCAACTCGAACATCTGCGCTAAAATGACAACACGGAGTTTCTTTCACAAATCAATGGCACTTTGAATCCATGTTTTTATTGTCTTAACACTTTACACAGGAAAGACAGCAGTAGTGTAGAAATCTAAGTTTGAGTTTGTGAATCAGAGGACTTGAGTTCATGCTTCTCCAGCTGCTTTGGTTTTCATGCTGACCTCTGACCTTTCTTAGTGAAGAGATTACTCAAAGAGAAATTAACTTTGCGCACCATCAGGAGCGACTGACATTAATCCGTGGTAAACAGGCATGGTCTTTCCTGAGACACGACGTGAGCAGAGCATTTATGTTGCACTTAAAGTCTGACTTTATTCAGTCCCAGAAAGAAAACGTCATTTTTCTGTTTCTGGTTTCAAGCAACGACAGCAGTCGTTCCTGCTGGGTCGACGTTTACCAGACTAATCCCTGAGCGTCACACTTCAGGTGGATTAATCTCCATCAGATTTAATCAGACATGTAATTACAGAAAGACCTTTTCACAGTAAAAGCAGGATTTAATAAATGTTCCTTATTTCAGACAAAGTAATCAATTTGCTCAAATCCGCCACTGATGCGAAATGTACAGTGGATGTTACAAAAACCTTAAGAATGTCACAAAAGTATAACTTAAATTTAGTTTTCATTAATTTCTTTAAAAATGTTTTTGGTTTGTGTTGATAACATTTGTTAGTAGTTCAAAGCTCCACATTCCTGGGACTTTAGGGAGAGCAGAACGAGGAGACTGGAAAGATACTTGATATGTTGTCTGCTCTGCAAGGTAAAGCCGTTCATCAATAATAGATTGGACATCCTGAAATATTTACTGTTTGGCCTGATTTAGTCATCTCCCTCCTCCCTCCTCATGACACGGATGACTTGATAACAGGCTGTACGACCGTTTTCTGGGCCTCACTGTGTTTCTTTGAGGTTATGTTTGCAGTTTTGGCATAGCAAACATTAAAAATGCCCTTTGTAACATGATGGGTTCTACAGTTTCATTTTTCTACCTCTTCTGTTTTTACAGTCATAGGACTGTATAAAAATATCCTTGGACATAATGCTGCATTAGTCACTATTTTAGCAATTGATCCAGCTACTTCAGTTACATTTCTGCATTAAAATTTCTTGTAGAATTGATTTTAATCATAATTTATCAAATTCAATCTGAAGTTGTAACTTGTTTTTGTTTTTAATTCAAGAATCCATAAATGCATAATGAAATGTATATGTTATAAAAAATATTTAGAGACTCACAACAATGTAGCCTCAGTGTTGTTGGCAGAAGAGATTCTTAATATCAAATATCTTTTTTTTCCTGGTTAAATAAAGGCTAAATAAAAATAAGGAAAAATGAAGGAAAACTTTCGGTGTAATCAGTTACACAGAATAAAATATTACAATCAAATCTTCAGGTTGATCAGAGCCATAATAGAAGTCAGGTGAGAAACGACATCACTTCTGGCAGAAAATGATCTTAAAGAACTATTTGATTCCAACATAATGGTGAAAATCTTAAGAGTGGGAAAAGCGTCTATATATATCTGTATATGTGAGCAAAAAGTCTGTAAAGTACAGGATGAAGTCAGCTTTTGTAGATCAAAAAAGTTAGTTTCGTATTGTGAACCACTGTCAGATCCAATTACATTTAATATGTTTACCCCTGAAAGGTGCCAATAACTCCACTTGCTCATAAAATGGCACATAATCATAAAGATTTTACAAGTCATGAAATATTAAAACTGAAAGCGCTAGCTTCACATTTCATTTTGACATGGCGTACAGGAGGCGAACCTCCTATTAAACATAAAAAATTAGACATGCTGTGGACTGATACTGATGCAATTCGTTGAGTTTGATTTAAAAGAAGGACAGGAATAAATGCTTTGATGCATAAAACATCCTGTAGGAACTGATCACAATTGACATGCCAAACTCCAAAGAAGTCCATCCCTAGTTTTAATTTGTTTAATTGGCATGAGCAGAAATCAAAGTGAACTCAGCATTATGCCACCCTTACTAATGGACTCCATGTTGTTCAGCCACACAAAGATGCTTATAGTTCGACTGCCAGTCTTTGGGCAAAGCAGATTGTTTCCTTCCAAAGAGAGTCAATAGCTCTGGATGTGGGCTGGAGGCTATGAGGAGGCTGACGTCATGAAGAGAAATCCCATTGGTGGCAGTGTCTGGAGGGGATACAGAGGCTGGCCATAAATGCTCCTTTGTCCCCACGTAGTCTTGGCCAAAACAAGGGAAGGGAAGAAGGAGCCTTGGAATTTATGTCTCTTTTTTTTTCTGAGCTCTGTAGCTGACACTCAGGAGTGGGACAATAGCTCGGTTCCCACAAAGAGAGAAAATGGCAGCAGCCTTGTGTGAGATGTTCCCTCCCACGCCAACCTTAATTAAGATGCAGGGGACAGAGACGCAGGGGAATAATGTGTCTGTATTTGGAAGACGAGAGAGAACTCTTGGTGAACGGATCTCGGCTGAATTTCAAAAATATTGTTCTCAACCACATCCGACACACTGAATCTTACCAAGTGTTTTTGGTTTAGTTTCCAGTTCAGATATCTTTGCACACTTGAAATAAGATGAAACTAACTTACAAGTAACTTTTCATCAAGTTATAGAAGCTTGTTTCAAGTCAATAATTCCTCATTATTGATTTTAAAAAGTACTAGTTCCAATGGCAGATTATTTTACTTATAAGAAGACATTTTTCCATGTCTTCTTATAAGACATAAAATAATCTGCCAATGGAACTAGTACTTTATAAAATCAATAATGAGGAATTATTGACTTCTATAACTTGATGAAAAGTTACTTGTAAGTTAGTTTTGTCTTATTTCAAGTGTGCAAAGATATCTGAACTGGAAACTAAACCAAAAACACTTGGTAAGATTTTGTGTTTTTGCAGTGCATGTCATCGTTGGACTTGTGCCCTTAGAGCTCTTAGTGTGCTATCAAAGTATTACAGTTCACTGTTTGTAAAAGTGTTGACACATAATAGTACAGCAGTCACATCTGTTTTCTTCTGCTTATCCTTCCTGCTTATCCTTGACAGTACCACATACTCTGCATGTGTCTTCTATCCATACATCATACTTCAGGCAGCAGCTCATCATAAAGCAGCAAACAGCTGCTGCTGCTAAGTGCAGCATGTCGGTGACTCTCAGTCAGTCAGTGGGTTTAGCTCCCCTGTGTCAGACCTGCTGACGCAGCCACGTTTCCTCTTCTATTGACTGGGCCAGGTCATCCGTGACAGCCTGACCGGCATCATTCAGCCACCATGACATGAAGACCCAGCAGCTGTGACAAATACAAACATGGAATATGTCACACAAGGATGCTGAAAGCATGAATGAAACGCAACTACAATTTTAGTCGATAATGCACAACATAATCGGCAGTGAAATTAGGACTTTTTTTGATGAGGTATATCCCAATTTGATCAAATTATGATCTTTTACGTAAACAAATACAACCATCACACTATAGTTTAGTCTTGTGTTTTATTCTGTTGTATGTTTTTTGTTTGAAATAAAGTTATTGGGGAGAAAAAGACAGTCAAGGTAAGGAGAGGAAATGGAGCTGCTGCGTAAACAGGATTCACCCGGTTAAGAGCATCAGTATAAACAATGAGCTCCTTACAGCGGAGAGCCAAAACGTCAACACAAATGTCAAACTTTATTCAACTGAAAGTTTCCAAATGGCAACATTTCAAAATGAGCTTTAGTGATATTTAGAAGCAAAAGTTATTTACATTACAGTGTCCTGCAAAAGATAAAATCTCTGTTCATGTGAGAGAAGTGGGGAAGATAGATTCCACCAAAACTCAGCTTAGTACAAACTAATACTGCCATATTTTGTCATGTAGCTGATCTGTTACATGAAAGGAGCGTATTTTAAACTTTCTTGAAGCAATTCTTTGGCAAAATCTGAAGCTGCATGGTAAAAGAGAACATGACCAACACGATTGTTGTCTCTTGTGAGTTCAAATGATGTCGAGATTTTTATCAGAACTGAACTACTGAGTGCATTTTGATTAGGTTAGCCTCTGTGTTTCCCAGTAACCTCTCAGTCACCCTAAAGTAATCACCTGATATGAGTGCAAGGTGTTTCCACGTCCTTCTGTAGAAGAGCCACGGGGCTCGTTTTATCTGAATCAGAGCAAAATACAGGATGAGTCAGCATCAGGAGAATATTCTGCTCTAGAGACTCGTCCTGGACAGATCATGGTTTATTTTTAAGATTCGATCTTTGCTGGTGAACATGATTTGTGCCATCATTTTAGTTATTTATTTGGAAAACAGTATTTTGTGTCCTTTGCTTCTTCTTTAATATGTATGAGGCAACAGCTTTCATGCAGATTAGAACAATATCATCAATATCAAACATGAACATGATAATGGGTGTGGCGATTTAGAATTATTGATTAAAACTAAGTTTCCATATGTCTTATATAATAACATGTAGCAAGATCTGTAATGAGGGTGTCACACTTTTGGAAAAAGAAAAATGTATAAATTGTTTTATCTGTATGTGCTGTGGTGTATCATTTTTGTCATAGTGAAGATGGGGGCTGAAATCTGGCCCATATTTCATAGCCTGGTGTTGCACTGAGTAGTGAATCAGAGGGTGAGTACTGGAGAATGTACTCAGCTGCTGGTTTTTCCTCTCTTATTGACCACATCTGCATTAGTAGAGAAAGTGATCTGCTGCTCTGGGAGCACAGAGGAAGTATTTTCATCGCTGGTATCGCCTTATTAAATATGCTGCCTTTGGTTGGGCTAACCAATAGGCAGACAAAAAAATGTTTGTCAGGAAGCGAGTTATGAGTGAAATAATCTGCCAGTAAAATAATCTGCCAATTCTGATGAAAAAACTAGCACTTTTTCATCAATATCAAGGCATTATTTCCCTAGATCTTCCTAAATCTTGATGAAAAGTTACTTGTAGGTCAGTTTTGTCTGAATTCAAGTGTGCTTAGATATTTGCACTCGAAACTAGACCAACATACTTGGCTAGATTTAGCATTTTTACAGTATTTACTCCACATGTATACATTTCCAGAGACGCATTGAGACTGAGTCAATTACACAGTTACTCAACTTTAAACAAGCTGTTTATTAAAGTGTACAGTAGCAGTCGTACTGGAACGAAATCAGTTTAGTGGTCAGTTATGACTGGATGAGATCTCATAATTTAACTTGGTGTACCTGAATCATCATCATTTATCCCAGAAATGCCAGTCGGTCTGTGTATAATGGTGTTTTGTAAGCCAAAAATAATTGCAATATAAACATGTTTGCCATGATATCATCATACCAATGGAAATGCTGCACAAATTGTGTTAAATGTATAAGTGGAAAGATGGAGGATGAAATGACTGATTGTGACTTTGAGCACACAGAGAATGAAGGCAGGAAGATATTAAATGACAGCAACATTTTAGTCACCCAGCAACGAGGAATGACATTAGCAATGACAAAGAGACTTTTTTTTTCGAAGGCAAACAAACGAAAACTCAATCTTAGAGAGAGCAGAAAGAGGAGCTGAGCGCAAACCTAAGCAAATTTTAGGTGCTCTAAAATGTCCCGTTGTAACAAAATGGCTTTTTACCCTGGATGTATTCATAGAGGCTGATTCTTATTTCTGCTTCTCAATTGTGAAATAGGCTTACCGGAGTTACCTGGAGAAATCTTCGGAAGATAGTAAAACTATTTACTCAGTATTACTGAACAATAAATAGAGTTACAGTTGGCACCACAATTATAATATAATAGTAATATTTTAGGTGACATACATTCCTTGTCTCTGATCAGATTTCTGATATTGTGGAGCTGTAGAAAATATGATGATAGTTCTCCTGTCAGTAACGATTCTCTGTATTTTTCGAAGTGGTATGATACTTTCAATTTTTAATGGGGTATCACAGCATAAATTTTACTCTGTTTAAACTAGATGTTTACTTAAATTGCTGCAACTACTACCAATCAATTTATCGTTTTTACAGCTACATTATATAACCAAATGAATCACTCATCCCTCCAAAGTTGTTTCCCTTATGTGGAGGGTGTACAGAAAATGGATGGACGGATGGGTAGCAGAGATCGTCTACCACCACAGAAACCTATTCTTCAACAGAAGACTTGTCCATCCAGCCTTACATGTTTGAACAAGAAAATGGTACCACAATATGAATTAATGCATCTTATAAACAGGACCTCAACATAGTTAGCAAGTTAGACCATGTGTATTTTTTGCACATCACCACTGAATCATGTCCATTGATTATGATTCAATAAAAGTAATGAATTTGACTGAATGTACATTCATTGCCTTGAATATACATTCAAGGCGAAATCTGTTTAATCTAATCTGTTTATACAATAATACTGTTCAAAACAGAGTAGGCTTATGTCCTTAAGGAGCTAAGATTGGTTCGCCAGAGATCCATGTTTAGCTGTAATAGTTCAAAAAGCGTAAGAGGGAATGGAGAAAACTAAACATACTGACCAATAAGTCACAAACAAAGACAACTATGCAGCACGTGGAGAGACTAAATTCAACTTTTCTGCACTCCCAGAATCTCCAAGTACACAACAAAATGTATTGAAGGGCGAAAAACGTGGAGTTTGCCTGATACACTCCCTTTAAGGTGTACATCCTGCACAGTTGAACATAATCCATCCTGTCAAGTTACATCAGTAGGAAGAGAAAACATTGCAGTAGTTGTCTGCCACGCACCCCTCTTCTTCAGAACAAGCTTTCTGAAACCTTTCAAAGCCAAACAAAAGCCTTCATCATAGCATATGGAGCCAAAAATAAACTTGAACCTGCACCCAACAATGGCAAACTGCAGTTGTCTTTCATCTTGAAATTATTGTAAAACCATACAATAATGTCTCACTTGGTGTATTTCAGTTCATTCTGTTCCTTAAGTCTCAGAAAATGTTTTGATGTATTCTTCCAAAGTTGTCAGCAGATTTAAGTTCAGACCTGAACTTTGGTTTGAGTACCATGCCTAACCACTGTAATAGGAACAAATTAAGGCCTTCCCTGGTCTGTCCACACAACTTGACTGATTCAGCTCAGGTAGTGTTTCACTCAGACAGCTCCCACCCTCCGACTGACCCATGTTTCTGGTCCTGTCTTTCAGCCATCATCAACCCCAAGCAGGCCAAAGACAACAAGAGCTTCAACTTTGATTACTCCTACTGGTCGCACACATCGGTAACTCATTCTGCAACTATACCTCTCAACAAGGAGACAGATTTCCATTAGAGCGAGCTGTTTTGTGTTGTGTTGTCTGATTTACAAGATATTGATCTCACTCCCCAGCCAGAGGATATCAATTATGCCTCCCAGATGCGCGTGTACAAAGACATCGGAGAGGAAATGTTGCTTCATGCTTTCGAAGGATACAACGTCTGCATCTTTGCATATGGTCAGACCGGCGCAGGCAAATCGTACACAATGATGGGAAAACAGGATGTCAAGGATCAGCAAGGAATCATCCCATTGGTAGAGTGATACAGTAACCAGTGCAGGTTAACTGAAGTAACTTATTTCTGAATTTATTTTTTACTGAATGCCTTTTTTTCCCCTCTTTCTAGCTTTGTGAAGATCTTTTCACAAAGATCAATGATAATACAGACAACAGCCTGTCCTACTCTGTGGAGGTAAGACTTGGAGGCCACTGATAAAGACCTTCTGTTCTCAAAGGTGACTCTAACTAAATATGCATTTGAGCAGGTCAGCTACATGGAGATCTACTGTGAACGAGTGCGGGACTTGTTGAACCCTAAGAACAAAGGGAACCTCCGCGTCAGAGAACATCCTCTGATGGGTCCATACGTTGAGGACCTGTCCAAACTGGCTGTCACTTCTTACAACGACATCCAGGACCTGATGGACTCTGGCAACAAAGCCAGGTGATGGAGCCACATGATGAGTTCACAATATTTTTCCAGGATCAACACAATATACATACGACATATATCTTTAATGATTTTTAGGAACAATAATTGAGTGAATATGTCTATTGTGAATTATATTGTGAATATATTGAGAATGTTCTCTAATTCAGACATGTTTATAATTATACACACACACAACAGATGTCCTGCAGCAGGTGTCACTCAGTTAAATCTGTTGGTTGCTTTAGAAATGATGAAGGTTTACGTTGTACAATTATTGAATCATGGTAAAAGCAACTCATCAGTTGCATCAGTAAATGCCTAAAAATAATATTTTATGTCAATGTAGTGGGGTTTCACCTCTTTATACGAGTATTATAAGGTCTGTTTTTAGCTCTCACACAATAAATAGTTAATCGCTGTTTCATAATGTGGTGGGCACCCTGAGCTAAAAAGTTAGTTCTGCTAACGCTACAGCAATACACCGAAATATTGCTGGGTGCACCAACTTTACATGTGCACCCATGTAAATTAAGCACCAACTTAATTTTGGTGCTTTAAAATTATAATTTGCATGTTCTATAATGCCCTTAGATATTGTATTTTTGTTCGTATCTTGTTCTCTACTCTCCATGTTTTATTTTTTTTCCTGTATGCTTCTTGTTTGAAATAAAGTTATTGGGGGGGAAAAGAGACGGAATGGGAGGAAAGCAACCGCTGCGTAATTGGATTTCACTCACTTAAAAATAAGAATGTGAATATAAACGAAGTCTTAAGAGCTGATGACCAAACCTTCAACATTAGTGCTTTACAGTTTACCCAGAAAAAAATTACTTAGGGAAAGCTAAATGTTTTCAGTTAGCTAAAACAATAGATAAAAGGAAAAACTGACTTCACTTTTAGGGAACAAGTGTTCCCACCACGGGTTTTATAATTAAGATTACTTTGAGTAAGTACCCAGCACATGATACAAACATGCTACTGTAGAACCTCCTAGTAAGCAGACATGGACTCTGTGAATTGATTAAACTTTGCTCTCTGTGTAGGACTGTGGCTGCCACCAACATGAATGAGACCAGCAGTCGCTCTCACGCAGTTTTTAACATCATATTTACTCAGAAACGCTTCGATGCGGAGACCGACAACACCTCTGAAAAGGTAGCAGATTGTTATCACATCCTGACTGAAATGATCCATTTAGATAGCGCTTCTGCTTCTCCTAACTGTGATAGATGAATCCGGGGGAAATCTTGATCTTAAGGGGAAAAAAAAAAATCAATGATGGCTTGCAGGTCATAAGGTTAATCTAATTCCTTTCTCAGGAAATGTTTTTTAATGAAGCCAGTTTCTGCAGTGGTTATTAATAGCTGTATATGTTTAATTGGCAGATAATGTGCAACATTAAATATGCTGGAATATTAACTGATGTTGCTCCTGTAGGTCAGCAAAATAAGCTTGGTGGATCTGGCCGGCAGCGAGAGAGCGGACTCTACAGGAGCCAAAGGAACCAGGCTTAAGGTGAAATGGTTTTAAGGAAATCCTAATTTACTCTATATCCATGTTATAAAAAGTGAATTAAATCACATCGCTTTGTAAAATGACAGGAAGGAGCAAATATCAACAAGTCTTTAACCACATTGGGGAAAGTTATTTCTGCTTTGGCAGAAGTGGTGAGTATTATTCTGTCTGTTTGCTGTATTTTCAAAGACGAAGCAGATTTTAAGGTGTTTAAACAATTTTTCTCCTTCCTCTATTCTTTTTAGGATTCCGGACAGAACAAGGTAACTCATTTCATTTCACTCTTTCTGCAAAAATCTGTCTCCTGCATTCTGAAGGAGAAAATGTGTACTTAAATCTGTTTCTTTACATTGCGCAGAATAAAAAGAAGAAGAAAGTGGAAAGCTTCATTCCATATAGAGATTCAGTTTTAACCTGGCTGCTGAGAGAGAACTTGGGTATATAGAATGTGCTTTTGAATTGCAGTCATTAATAAACTCAAATTGAACCAGGAGAATGCTGATATGCATATTTCCTCTCTGTGTTGCTAGGGGGAAATTCTCGAACGGCGATGGTTGCCGCTCTGAGTCCAGCTGACATCAACTACGATGAAACCCTCAGCACCCTCAGGTAGACGGCAGAGACTGGGGTCACACTAAACACATCAAAAGTTTAGACATCAGGGGTATCCTGCACGTGTGTTAGTTTGTTCTCTACCTCCCTCTTGTGTCAGCATCTTCTGTTATTTTGTATATTCAAAATCCACAGGTATGCTGACCGTGCCAAACAGATTCGCTGCAACGCTGTCATCAACGAGGATCCAAACAACCGATTGGTGCGTGAGCTGAAAGAGGAAGTGTCCCGTCTGAAAGACCTCCTGTACGCCCAGGGACTGGGTGACATCATTGAGAGTAAGTTACAAAATCAAATTCTGCCTGTCATCTATTCGTGTACAAGTGTGTTATTTAAATTTTGATGAAACTGAAGTTGTAAAAGTTTTATTTAGCTTGAATGAAAATTTTAATTCTGCGGGACATGTGAGGCCTGGTCAACCAACTTGTACACATTTGATAGATTGCCACCACAAACTCCAATGTATTTTATTAGGATTTTTAGTTCTAGGGCTGTAAATCATTAAGTGGCAGTAAAAATGTGTTAATTTGCATTCACACACCTTTTGATATTCCTGAATAGAAACCAGCTTAATCGATTGTCAAATAGCGTTTACCTGTGTGTAATTTGACCTCAGTATAAACATCTGCTCTGTGCTCAGTTTGCTGGAAGGCTTGTAAGTCACACAGCAAACGGAGAGGAAGGTGTTTTGGTCAGATGAGATCAAAGTGTTCAAAAGTCCTGTCCCACATGCAAAATGCAATGTCTGCCACAAAAGTAACACTTCACATCAAAGTAAATACACATCTCTGACCATGAGACATGGTGGTTGCAGCATCATGCTGTGGGGATGCTTTTCTTAAACTGGTTTTCTTAACTCAGTTGGTGGAAGGATGAATGAAGTTAAAGTTTCTTAAAGGCTGCAAGGCACCCTACAAATTCAGCAAGCGATGTAATAAAAATGTTTATATCAAACCAGATATAAGTATTACAAAATACAATAAAATCCACACCACACTTTTCAGATTTATATTTGTAGAACAAAACTGAAAATCATGTATTACTTTAATTCCAGTTCAGAGTGAATATGTTTAATACACGTGTTGGTCTATTGAATACAATCCCAATAAAATACAATGAAGTTTGTGGCTGTAACAGTATAAAATGTAAAATAATAAAAAAAAAAAAACATGTCGAGGGGTGTAAATACTTAAAATACTTTTAAAAGTAATACATTGGCATAGTATTATTTTTACTGGTATGATGATTCTATCTAAAGGTTTCCTCTTTTCTGTCTCTCTATTAACTTCTGTTTCAACCTCACCCAGCCTATCGAGCAACTGGCGCTGACATAGAGGGTTTGAAATGTGTGTCTCCTGTTTATTTTTATTTTTTATATTTTATTTTTGCTGTTGCTTTTGCTATGGCGCTTACTGCAACAGCATGAGTAGCTTGTTGATGTTCTCTGGCGCACCACTAAGCAGTCTGATGTTATCCAGGCGGTTTTGATGATAATTATGATAAATTTAGGCTGCTGATGTTAAAAAAACAGAATCTACACATGGCTTCCTAGATGTGCCATTAAAAAGGCAGTGTTTTAGTGTTCATAATTCAAAGAATAGGTAAGCAATACAGTATAACAAGCACATGGAAAACAGTATGATACATTTCATCCCAGTCATTAACTTCCATGCTGTAAAAAGTGAAGTTTCCCACTTTGCTGGCAGGGTTTGTGTCTGATTTAATCTATTTCCCCTGGCAGCTGGGACAATTAGATGTGCAGTAACAGTAAAATGATAATTCAGTCAGAGAGAGTATTATTTGTTTCATCTCATTTTTACACCCTTTCATAACACTCCCCCTTTATCGGATGGAGAGACAATTTTATCTGGTGCATCTTGGCAGAATAAACCTGTCCAGATGGATGGGTGTCATACACTTTGCCAAATTGTTGTACTCTGTTGCCATAGCAGCAGCTACATAGTCAATATTCTGCAAAGAATTTATCCTAGGTGTTAATGAGTCACAACAAAACTAAGATTAAGAAAAGTCTCAACGTTACATTAGTGCAACACAATATTCTCTTGTTTTGCCTGATGAATCAAATAAATTCACAATTCAGCAAATGCATTCCTACTTTCAATTATATTAACAAGACAGATCGAAGAGAAAACGATAACAGCAGCTGGAGAGGATACCGTGGATAAAACAGGAACGGTCGCGCCACCAGATATCCAAAACAAAAAACTAAATAATTATTGATCTCAACCGATATGAAAAGCTTGTCATGATATGTTTTTTTAGCCGTATCGCTCACCTCTATATTGTACTTAAAAAGATAAAACACTTAATCTGATTAAATCTCGTCTGGATAATTCAACTCTGAGCAAAGATTTTTGTGCTTGAGATTTATCGAATGTTTAGGGCTGTTTTCATTGGATTTTTGATATGTTGACCAACTTCGTTTTAGAAAACAGATGGATTAGTCAAACCTTACAGACTCTTTAAGTTTGTGTTTTGTAAAATGTTTGGCCTATATATGAAAAAAAGAATAAAAGTTTAATGGATCCTGTTTGCCTAAATCTTTATCCTACCAAGAGCATTTAGGGTTCTTACCCAAACCAGGAAGTTGAACACGGTTACTGTAAAGTGGCTACATTTCCTTCATTTTAAATGATTCACTGCTTACCGCTTCATAAAGTCGATGCATTTTCTGTTAGCTCTTTGGTGGCTGGTTGGCTCTTTGCTGCTTTGTTTAAGTTGACTTGCTCTCTGTGCAGCTTCCTACTCGCGCTGCTGTCGCTTTTAAAAAAACTATTCAGATTACACTGTAAGTTACACGTGTTTGAAGCTATGTTGTGTTCTTCCATTTCTACTCTCCCTCTCTTCTCTTCCTCTTCTCTCTGCTCATCTTCGTTTTTATTTTATTTTTTTCCTTCACTATCTGTTACGGACCTCCTAACCACTCCCTGTGCCCCGCGCTGACAGACATGTCCGATTACACGAACAATAACGATGTAGGCCAAGCTGTGAATCAAAGGGATGATCTTTTCACAGTGACCAATGCCATGACGGGGATGAGCCCATCGCCATCCCTCTCAGCCTTGTCCAGCCGCGCCGCCTCTATAGCCAGTCTGCACGACCGCATTATGTTCAGCCCAGGCAGCGAGGAAGCCATTGAGCGGCTGAAGGTGAGCATCTGGTGTTCAGTTCAGTAGCTACATCACACGTAGATGCATCTTAATTGTCATAATACCCCCTTTTGTTTTCAAATGTCAGGAAACTGAGAAAATAATTGCCGAACTAAATGAGACCTGGGAAGAAAAGCTCCGCCGGACAGAAGCCATTAGAATGGAAAGGTAAGATGGTGGGAGTTTATTTAGGCAACCGGTAGAAAGTTCAAAGTGTGACCCTCAAAGGATTCTGTTTGGCCCTTGACCACAAGTCTAGAATAGTAAGAATGTGGTCAACAAAACAGAAGACAGTTGATGACCTAAACAATTTGGGAACTGTCTATAATGATTTATCGACTTCATGAAAATATAAAATTGATGAAAAAGTATTAGTTCCCACTGGAAGATTTTTTTTACCTGGGAGAAATGTCTTGTTCCACTGGTAGATTATTTCACTTTTAGCTAGAACTTTTTTTTTATTGGTATAAAGGAATAAGTAACTTAAAACAAGCTCCTATATCTTGCTGAAAAGTTACTTCTAAGTTAGTTTGACAAAAAAAATCAATAAGCAAGATTTAGAGTTTTTGAGTATTTTCCATCTGCATATATTTAATGCAACTCCCTTCCTGACTCTCGTGTAAAATCAAAGCAAAAAGCACATGCAAAAACTCTCTGTGAATTGCCTCTTAAGTTTATCAACAACATCGCTTCTCCACAGAGAGGCTTTGCTGGCAGAAATGGGTGTGGCAATACGAGAAGATGGCGGCACCGTTGGCGTGTTCTCTCCTAAAAAGGTAAAAAAAAACAACAATAAAATAAAAATCAATCGCATTCTGCTGCATGTCTCCAAACAGTCTTTAAAATGAAGCATTTATCTTTAAAATTAATCAGCGAATTGCTTATTTATTTGCCCCTGAAGCCCTCCGATTGCCCCAGAAAGCCCCAGCCTGTGTTTATAGACACAGTCGGTCTGTTTTCCCCTAACGAGGTTTGTCGCTCTGCGGTGTGTCTCTCCACTGAGTGCTGTGAGGTTCTCTTTAGGAGGAGTGTGGCGTAGGCATGTCAGATGAGACTTTATTTTCCTTAATCTACTTAATTACACTTCAAACACTTCCTCACTGCACTGACAGCATGGATGGGTGTAAACATGGAGGGACAGATAATGGTTGTGTTCCCATTTCAGTGATTTATGAACCTATGTACTTATAAGTCAACGGTAAACGCCCACATTTAAATGCAAAGCAAATTTTACTGCATGACGTTTAACCGCTATCGATATAGCTTGCTGTAAGAAGCACACTTTTCCACGTGTTTTCCCACACAGATGCTAAATTATTGTACTAGCTTGTCACTAAATGAGTGATTCTTCTTGGTCAGACGCCTCACTTGGTGAACCTCAATGAGGATCCGTTGATGTCTGAGTGTCTGCTGTACTACATTAAAGAGGGAGTCACCAGGTCAGATAATCACAAATATATATTTTTTCTATCTGGAAGTGTAATATTGTGTTGAAAAGTTGAAGTTGGAATATGCTCTGTTGCTTCCTAGGGTGGGTCGTTTGGACGCCAGCAGCCGTCAAGACATCGTCCTCAGCGGCCATTTTATTCAGGGCGAGCACTGCACCTTTACGAGATGCGCTGGCCCGTCAGGGGAAAGTGAGCAGATGGTTCTTAGCTCAACAGTCTTGAACATCATCACCATTGCTGTAATATCAACTCTCTCTCTGTTACTAAGCAGCAGTCATCCTAGAGCCCTGCGAAGGAGCCGAGACTTACGTCAATGGAAAGAGAGTGACAGAAGCGACAGTTCTGAAGTCAGGTCAGAATACCAAGTCGCCTAATGTCAGCTTTGTGCAAACATGAGTCAGTTTACTTGGTTTTACTAATACGAGGTTCCTCTTCTTAAAGGAAATCGCATCATCCTGGGGAAGAGCCACGTGTTCCGGTTCAACCACCCTGAGCAGGCTAGAGCTGAAAGGGAGCGGACCCCCTGCGCTGAGACCCCTGCTGAGCCTGTGGACTGGGCTTTTGCCCAGAGAGAGCTGTTGGAGAAACAGGGCATTGACATGAAACAAGAAATGGAACAGAGGTACAATAAAAAAAAAAAAACCTTAGCTTGGATGGAAAATACAATGCATCACAGATGTATTCAACTTGAACTTTTTCTGATTTTCTCACCTTATATTGGGACTTTATGTGACAGACCTACACAGATTAGTGCATGATTATGATCTAAAAGAAGAAGAAAAAAACAAAAAAGTTTCTTTGTCATTCACAAATTTGAAAACTGGTTCAGCAAAATGGTTCTTTATAAAACCACATTTTGCTTTAATTATCCTGTCGAAAGACTCAGTAGATCTCTAGAGTACCATGTTCCTCTTGGCTGCTTCTCTGAATAATTCTCTCCAAAAAATATGAAAATCATGTTTCATTCTCCTTCCCCTTCACAATCATGCAATACTTTTGTTTGTCACATTAAATTTTTATTTTTAGAGTTACTTTTTAAAAGCCCATCTAGGGACAAGTGCTGCAAATTAGCTGTTGCTATTGCACCATGATGCAAACATGGGACTGCTGTTTTATTCAGTTTGTCTATGTCAATGTGTGTCTGTCCCTATCAAATAAACTTGAAAGAAAGAAAATCTCGCTAAAATAAATAGAGGTTTTTGGTTGTAAAGTGATCAAACCATCGATGGGTATCAATACTTTTTCAAAACACTGTAAGGTGGCAACCAAAGCTGATGAGCTTATTTTGTTTTTTTCCAAGCTTTCCTTAATATAACTAAACATAAAATTACAAGAACATAAAAAAATAAAAATAAAGTAGAAGGTGTGGTGTACATATATGACTTGTAAACAACTCAAATTACAATAAAACTTGTATAGAGAGTCACAAAAATTCTGGACATTTTACCTCAATGTATTTTTCTTTCACCCAGATCTTTTCAAATTTTGCAAACTGCAATCTACCTGAAAAACTAATTCTTTCCATCCTATATGAACCATAATCTGATGCCAGTCATGAAGGGATGGAACTTATTTGTATTTCTTTGTGATTGCTAAGCTTAAAATACTAAATAAGTGTTTAGCCTCTGCGTCCACATCCTCTGGATACAAGTTGCCAAATTACAGATGACTACATCCTCTTTGTTTTTAATGCACTGGTATAAAAATAGAAAGCTTGATCAGTTTGGTTTGGTGTGTCACCTCCATCCAACCTGTTTTGACGGCATCCATTTCTGTCCTCAGGCTTCAGGAGCTGGAGGATCAGTACCGCAAAGAAAGAGAAGAAGTCAACAATCTTCTAGAGCAGCAAAGACTGGTAGGGAAACTGGCACATGTAGTTTTTCAAGAGTTTGTTCAGAGGACTTTCTAGTTTCGGTAACACTTTATTTGAAGGGGGTTGAATAAGACTGTCATGACACTGTCATAAACATGACATAACACCTGTCATGAACATGAATAAGCCTTCATGAATATTTATGACTATTGTCATAAAGCGTCATTCGGTAAATTATGACACTTTTAATACAAAGTTGACATTATTCAAAATGTCTTTGTTATGACAACTTGACATTAACCAAGAAATCATTACTGTTTAAACTTTACCTTTAATAACATAAAGTTACCTAATTTTTAAAGTGCAATCAGTAATACTTTTATAACAAATTTATGTCAGTTATGATTTCTTGGTTAATGTCAAGTTGTCATAACAGACATTTTGAATAATGTCAACTTTGAATTAAAAGTGTCATAATTTACCGAATGACGCTTTATGACAACAGTCATAAATATTCATGAAGGCTTATTCATGTTCATGACATGTGATATGTCATGTTTATGACAGTGTTATGTCAGTCTTATTCAACCCCCTTCAAATAAAGTGTTACCCTAGTTTCTTACTGACAGTTTGTACAAAGACTTACACCAATAACTACATAGAGGTGTCAGGTATTGAAGCTAATACATTGCAATCTGTTTTAGTCCTTTAATTTACTGATTATCGTTTTTTTGTGTAGGATTACGAGAGCAAGCTTGAGGCTTTACAGAAGCAGGTGGACCGTTATTACCCAGAAGCCCCTGAAGAAGAGGAGGAGCCAGAAGAGGAAGGTCAAGATGATGTCTGGGGTCAGATGTTGTCTCTCTGTTGTTAACGCATCTTGGCCACATGAGTTTCCTTTTTTT